CACAGATACCATGTTCATTTCCCGCCCACCAGATCAGGACACTGAATGGCCTATAGCAGTGGTTCTCAGCCTTCCTGATGCCAAGACCCTCTGATACAGTTCCTCACGTAGTGGTCGCCCCTACTGTAAAATTATTCTAATTGCTACTACATGACTGTAATTTTGCTACTGTTATGAATTGTAATATGTATCTGTTATGCACCATGGTCTTAGGCAACACCTGTGAAAGGGTCCTTCGCCCCCGCCCCCCCCCTCACCGCCAACGGGGTTGTGGCTCACAGCTTGGGAACTGCTAGCTTAGAAAATCAAGTTACCCCGTCTCAGGCTAGCGGGGAACGGTAGGAAGAGCCCCACCCCAGCCTGACCACCACTGTATTTCTTGCCCGTCTCCTAGAGTGCCCTCCCCAGGCACACTGCCCAGGGACTCTGGAACCAGTGGGAAGTGGGGTAACTTTTCCACACTGGAAACTGTAAGCTGTCCAGAAGTGTCAGCAGAGAGAGAAGTGCACAGGTTTCAGTAGCAGGGGGAGACATTAATCCTGACACAAATTAATTACAGTATGGGCTTTGCATGTGATTACCCCACCATTAGCGGGGCTATTTGTAATCACACCAGCTCTCTAGACTTCAGCAAATATATTAACTGTAATGTGTCCCCCTTTGGCCCTTGCTAACCGCATCTGTGGCCGTACTCCTGTGGACAACTCATGCATAGCAGCAGCCTCGGAGAACCTCTTGCCTCTCCTGAGCAAGCTCAGAGAGTGTCAGGGACACCAAAGGCCCAGCATTACTTTGACCTCCTGTGGCTGAGGTTTTGAGGCTGGAGCCAGGGAAAGGGAGAGGGGGCGTCTGGGTTTCTCACTTCCATGTTCTTCTTTGAAAAACCAAGACACTGATTTTTTTTTTTCATCATTTAAAATCCCGCCTAAGTCTGCAAGCATTAGGATTCTGAGACTATGACTGACTATTAGTATGTGTCTGCTTTAAATGTCAAGAGAGTCTTTAATAGCAACATGTGAGGAGTGTTGAGACGACAAGGGAACACAGTACAAGTCGGGGAATTCTTGAGTTGGGGTGAAATGAGCTGTGGCTCACCCACTAGCCAGACATGGCGGACATGGCGGCTGATGGCTAGCAGATCTTCCTCCGTTTGTCCCGGGGCTGAATTCAGAAGCCATGCGGACGGCTGTGGGCTGGGTACAGGGTTTCTGCTTGGCAGCTGACCAGGTTGGTAGGAGAGGTTGAGTTGTGTCCCTTGCTTCCAGAGACTCCTATTTAGGGTGTGTGGGTTTGATTTCTGACCCCCTCATTCCTTTTTGCTTTGGTCATGTGCAGTTGAGGGAGCAGTGTAACTGGGTACTTTCTGTCAAAGTCAGGTTTGTCTGTTGGGTCATCGGTGCGTAAAAAGCGTGCTCCGAAAGTCAGATTGTCACTGTTGAGGTCCATGGAAGAACAGGGTCACCCAGACTCCATTGCTTTTGTTTGTACTCTTGTGGTCCTTACAAAAGCGCAGACTTCCTGTTTCCTCTCTTGAGAAGTGGCTTAGCAGGCTCGGAGTTTAGTGGTGGTCTCCTTGGGGTCTCAGTCCCTCCTGTTCCTCAGCTGGGTTGCTTGCTGCCTCTGTCCATGCCACTCCTTTGTCAGTGGTGACGTAAGTCAGGCCGAGGAGCGGTAGAGGGAAGATTTTTGTCATTCATGGAAGGTCCCAGCAGAGTGTGAAGATCCGTCCCTTTGGGTGAAGCTAACTGAGCATTCTAAAGCAGGATTCTAGCCTTACTTCTGTCCTGTCTTGGTGCTATGGCCTTACAGGTGTTCATCCTGTGTGCCTCAGTTTCCCCAATTGCAGTATATAAGTCAAGGGGACCCCGAGCCATGGTGATCTTTATTTCTGTCCCAGCGGGACGGGTGACTCCCGCCTTCTCCTCATCTGCCCTTAAGAACAGCAGCACTTTCACGAGTTGACACTCATTTCAGTGGAAATGACTGTGTGGCCGTGGCAGGACAACAGTCCTCCTGACCGCAGCAGAAGGAAGATGGTGAGAGAACCCCAAACTCCACTCCCTTCTTGCTGACAGAAGTCCGTGCTGAATCTCCCTGAGTTTTGTCTTTGCGCCTTATCAGCGGTGTTGGAGCAGTGCACAGGATCTGAGCTTCCACGCCTTGTCTAAAGCCCAGTTTGAGGCATGGAGATTAGAAGTGGGGTGACCTATATCATCCAATGGAGAAAAATTAGTTGCCCGGGGCTGAAGGCAGGATACAGCCAGGCCCAGAGAGAAATCTATCAGAGTTAGACACCACCTTCCCTGTGTTTTCTGTCCTGCTCTAGTCTGTAAAACAAGGGACTTATTTCTCTCCACACCTAGATTCACAGCTGACTTCATTACACCCCATTATGTGGATCCTGATTCCAAAGATATACCCAGCCAGTGTAGACTAGACTGTTTTAATTTCTCCTAAAAAAAAAATTGCAGCAGGTATTTTTAACCTCCATGAAGCATTCATTAGTCGCTGCACTGAGCTTGCTCTGTACAGAACTCATGTTCAGAACGACCCTACAAGTCAGAGAGGAGCAGTCCATATTTAGAACCAAGAATGAAGCGCTCGGAAGGATGATAGAATGTGCTCAAGAGGCCAGAATTTGAACACAGCACAGTAGGATAGCATGTCTATTATCTACTTCCCTTCTGCCTTCTTTCAAGAGCATTAGTCCACGGACTAGCTAATTCCAATGAGCCCTGCTCAGGAGCACCCTCCAGTGAAACCCATTGTCCTGCCTGTGAAAACAAAGCTCTTGGCATCACAATATATATATATATATATATATATATATATATATATATATATATATGTAAATACACACACACACACACACACACACACACATATATATTACCAGCCAGATTGCTGGTTGGTTTTGAACAGTTTCTCGACCCCCTTCTCTTGGCTTTTCGTTGAATTCCGGGAGAATAGGGAATATATGCCCTACCGGAAGATGTCTGTGCTCTCACATTGTGTAATGAAGTGATGCTGGAATAGTTGATTGCGCTGCGGAGTTTATGGAACAGTCCCCAGTGGTAGTAAGCTTCAGGGTGTGGGTGTGGTCCTGTGCACACAGTGTCCTTGCTCTTGTCTGTTGGAAGGTCAGGCCCCGTGGGTGAGTAGAGAATCTCGCCTGGTGCTGGGGCTTTAGCTTTTTGTTTTTTCCTTTTACCTTACTTATCCCTTGTAATTGCTACATCGGAGATGTTGACCCCTCAATTAAGTCACAATTAATATTGAGCAGACTCTTCAGTAAACACCACCTCTCACCCCGTCATTTGTGTTGTGGAGCATGGGCAGTCTGCTTACTTCATGGTTTTAGAAAGAGTGACGTGTGTGGCTAAATTCCTTTCTGCCCCATGATAGTTTTCAAAACAAACTTAAAAAATTAAAAGGCATCTCAGAGTAGTTTTAGTATAAAAAACAAAACCGAAAGGGGGGGGGGAGATCCTACAACAGAAAGCCCTTAGGGCACTTAACACAAAAAAGAAAAAAAAAGCGAATAACCGTAGAAAAATGCTATTCCCAACATTTTAATTGTTTTGTCTGAGCCACTCTGAAAACCCAAATTCCTTTGGCATTATGTGTTTCGAGAATCTTAGTTTGGCAGTTCAATAATGCACCAAAGAACAGAGGGTGAGTAACATAAAGTAGACCCTAATATGGTGTCATTTTCATTTCCTGTTTGTTGAAAGATAAACGCTAACACTGTAAGGCTTTTCCCCCCTACTTCTTCTTCCTAATTTATTCCTCCCTGAACCACAAGGGAATAAAAAGAAATAAAAACTCAAATGTGATATGGCTGTTGACTGAGCCAGCCGGTGGGGAAGAGACAGGCGCATGTTTTCCTCTGCCATTGCACCCGGCCCCTTTCTCTGTCTTCCCCTGACTCCTGAGCCCCTACCTCCTGTCTCCCCACCACTAGAAATAACTTGGTTAAAAATGTGAAGTGGGTTTAATTTTGGCATAATTTTAGACTTAAAAAAACCTGCTTCCTAAAGATTTAAAGTCAACTCAGAGGTATTAAAGGAATAGATTTCCACCTGCCTCTAAGGCATTGTTTTGGGCAAGCTATCTGTGAAGCTTTTGAAGATACACACACGTGTGCAAAATATCGCCCTCCTTCCTCTGTCAACATTGTCCCTTCATGCTGCATCTCTTTCCTCTACTTCATTTTATTTTGGAGAACATACTACATACTACTTACCGAAAAGTCATCATGAGATGTCCCTGTGCCCACTTCCTTGTGATCTAGCAACATTATCACTATATCAAAATGGCCCAAAGCCAGCATAGTGGTTCTAGCATGTAATGAATAGTGATTTTCCACTCTGTCCATCCAGTTAGAAACATGTGTGACTTCAGAAGATAACTTTTCGTGGAATGAAGAGATTGAGGTTATTAAGAAAAAAAAAATCTAGTGGGGACTCAGATATTGAACACCTGAACACAGGAAACTAATTGTGCAACTAAACATGGGAACCCGTCAGCCCTGGTATCCCGTTCCTCCCCTCTGGTGTCACCTGCCAGTCCTGGTAAGACAGACTCGGCTAACTTTCCACAAGTGTATTCAGGTGTCCGTGAGTTTGTCCACAACCACAGCAGATGAGTTTATGAGTGTGAGCTAGCTGCTCGTCTTCCCGTGGCCTCCTCATGAATCAGCTTGGCTAATGGGCATGATTCACGCTTGCCTTTGAGCTGTCCATGTTCCCTGGGACTCCTTGGTGCCAGCAGGTCTACAATGTCCCAGTTAAAGTCTAATACACCTTGTGTTGGGAAATCTCACATCAACACCTCCGGTTACTTAGATTTTGGCAGGGGTCCTATAGATTTCAAATGATGAAGCAATAAAAATGATTCTATCATGCGCTGTGGTTAGCTGGGATATGCGTCGTTTGGGGTATTCAAAAGAGCCATACGTCTGTATTCAAAGACATAACGAAACCTTTTCTTCCCATTAGCTTGCAAAAGACAAAGAGCGCCTGCAAGCCATGATGACCCACCTGCATGTGAAGTCTACGGAACCCAAAGCTGCCCCTCAGCCCGTAAGTACTGGTCCCCACCAGGGGAAATGGCACCACAAGCTAGTGGTATTCCTTCTCTGCCTCTGACCTCAAGCCTGAGAGACTAGCTCCAGAGGTGGGGAGGGGTGAATGTCAAAGGCCTCCTTCGCCTGATTCTTTCTGGCCTTTCAAAGAGAAGGCAGACAGGATGCTAGGCATTAGGGAGGGACCTAGGATGGGACAGGCATCCAATTCATCCTAGATTTTTAAAAGTCTCCTTTGCTTGTCTTATTTCCTCGTACTGGGCCTCTGAGTTGAGATCTAGTAGGCCCATGATACCTAGAACACACGTCCTGCCTTGAACCTCGCTCTTCACCGTGAACTGATCTCATCAGCACTGGTATCACTCACAATTTCTGGAAGTCTCCTCATAGCTTTAGTTGATTATTCAAAATGGAGGCCATGCCTTGGTTCCTGATTTTTAAGATTTGTAAAATTTAAAGGTACGCTGACTTTATTTGATTTTGCTGGGAGTCCCTGTGTGAAAATTAATTGAGCGTTGACAATCTATAGTTAGTAGCAGCAATTTTAATCAACATGCAATGATGCAGCATAATGGCAAAGTATTGGTTTATCTGTTTTGACTGATTTTTTTTCTATAAATAAAGCAAACATCCACCCCTATATGTATGATGTATGGTGATAGAAATAAAACGGAGTCAGACTATTAACCCAGTGAATATGGTAGCCTGCCAAGATGCAGTTGGCAGACAGAATTAATGTCTGAAGCAGAACACATTACTGAGATACAGGACATAAAATCATTAAACACTCCATGCATCCATTTTTACTGAGAAAGAGTCTTAGCTTCCATGTATATCACAGTAAATGGCTGCAGGAAAGAATGGGTAAGCTACCAAAAGGAGAAAGGCTGGGGAAAGAGCCAAACCATTTGGAGTTGTCCCCACCTGTCTCTTCTTTTCGATGGGCACTGGGAAGAACCCATAACCCAGTTGAGCAAATTAGTACTGCCCTGACATGATGTCATGACCAGCGGCGAAGGGGATCTCTCTGGAAGTCCTCAGTGGCTTTAGTGAAGTGCTTCCCCCTGATTGAAGACTCCGAGTCTTCACACCTAGTAACAAGGAGGAAATGAGGTTGTCTCCATCTTCCTCCATGGAGTACAAGCAGCCATGAGAGAGCCATGATTGAATGTAGCACTCTGGGAATACGCCGTTTCGAGTCAAGCCAGAGGAGGAATCCACATAAAGACATGGGACTACAGAGTCCCTTGGGGTCCTCAGCGGGTAATGGGGCCTGGGACTAGCTATGAGCATGGGCACAAGAGGACCCTTGATGCTCTGTGTCCCTGTGAACCTGTGCTAAGCAGCCAATAAACAAGAGAGAAGCAGCTGGGGGTGAGGGAATGAGCAGGGAAGGAAGGTTTGTCTTGATTAGTATTGAAAAAAAAAATGTTTTACATTCTAGAAAATTATAACTTTGAAGGGGACCTCCTACTAAATTTATTTTTAACTGCTCTATTGAAAATTCTCCACCACTAGTCAACATTATCTCTTAGTCGCTCAGCACAGTATTTCTTTATTAAAAGAAATAGGCACGAATATTTTTGACTGAAAAATTAATAGCTTTTGAATTCATACACAGCAGGTTTTCTTTTGCAAAGAAGTCCAATATCGCTGCACAGCACTTCTATAACCATTTATTTAGCGTCCAAGTCAAACCTTTGACAGCTAGAGCGGTGCTACAAGCCAGTATAAAGAACTCCAAGATGTAAACCAACAATAGCCCGTCTGTGTGAGGTTTGCCATTGTCAAATACATAGATTGTTTGGATTAGTTTATGTAAATGTACTGTTGTATTACCCTTTGGAAGAAAAATCACATTTGTGTATGAAAAGTGGTTCCCCTCACAGGCAGCATTATAAATTCCTTATCCTTTAACTTACATGTAAGAAGTAAAAATTGGTGCCTGACACGTAGATATTGTGTGACACTCTGTTGTCGGAGTGAACCTGCCTCCTTTTCATTTATTGGAAAATAGAAAATTTTATTATAGATACCATCTTATAAATCAGGAATTATTAAAATATGTATAGGTGAGGCATTGGAAAATTAATTATAAAAGATAGACGTGTAGTGTTTTGCATAAATTTTCACTTCCTTGCCAAAAGAAAAGAAAGAAAGAAAAAAAGGCCCATGCATATTTCAGACCCCTTGATGCTTTCAACTTTAGGGACTTGGAGCTATCTGGTGACTGATCCTAATGTTCACACTATTCCCTATGGCCTGTAATTAATTTATTCCACCCTAAATAATAGAATGGCTGGTGAGCATTTGAACGAATATCATTCTCGAATCTGGGGTTTGAAATAAGAAGTCACCGAGTTTCATATCTAACCATAGATGGGGACTTCCACGTTACAGCCTTGCCAGTGAGTTTATGAAGTTGTTTCCTTTTCCATTTCTGTTTAAAAGGAACTTGGTTTATTTAAAAGTCTTAGTCACCAAGCGATAGAATGCGTAGCTGTAAATGTTGCCCTCCGCTAAATGCCAGTTGGGTGGTAAGTGTCTCTTGTATCCAGTGGTCTACCATGTCCCCAGTTTCTCCCATTCCAGAGCTGCCAATGCATTTTCAGGGCGTTCTTGCATCAACTCAGAGATGCATTTTCTGGATCTCAGCATGGGGTGCATCTTTAGGTTTGGATAGTGACAGGGCATGCACATTCCTAGGATGGCGCCCAAGGGTATAGACAAGGCTCCGAGGGCCACCCAAAAGGACTGTAAGTGTATGGCCTACGGGAACAATATATCCCTGGTCTTATGCCCTGCTGACCCCCTGGGTAGCATGTCTTCCAATGGTCATCACATCTCTTTTCTCAGAATTAGAATTCTTGAATTTAGAAGTCCAACCATTCATCAAGGGTTAATTACTTGGCTACAGTCACATACTGAATATGGACAAACAGGAAAGGTCTGTACTTGCCACAGAGAGGTGTTTGGAGTTTTGCGAACAAGCTACCAAATTGTTGCATTAATATATCCACACATATGTATACACATACACACATAGATCATTTGCTGCATAGAGAATGGTGTATGCGACTCGGAAAAGTGACCTGAGAAAATGATGTGTCGTTTTGAAACCTAAAAGCTGAATAGAAGGAGAAAGGTCAGCTTCCCGGCTCTTGCCCCTGGTGAGCAATGAATCCACAGATCTGTGTGTCTGAGGATGGCAGCTGGGTGAGGAACATGAACCATGGGGGTCCGAATGGAGGAAAGGTAGGAATCAGCAACCTTAGAATTCCACTCTCCTTCAGCCTAGCCAGAATCTAGCAAGTTCTAGCAGTTAGGTACCAAGAGAGAAAGGGCTGTTGTTGACATATGTTTACAATAGCCAAATTGGTTGTAGTTTAAAACTTAAAAGTTCTTCTGTTTCCCACGGAAAGAGAAGCAACAGCAAAGAAGGAGAAAATAGTCTGCTGTTCCTTTGTTCCAAACCCAGTTCCATTCCCAGAGTGAGCAGCACAATGTCGGGTCTATACTTAACTCCATGCAGAATTGGCTGAGATGTAACTCGACACAGAAGGACAACAAAAGGAAACATGTCTGTGTTAGAACTTTATTAAGTTGTCAGTGACTTCTTACAAAGCCATTTTGCTACGCTGGTGTTGGGAGTGCGCAATGTAAACCTCCCTTCATAATGGGGAGAGGGAGCATCTTCGCTTTGGGGATCCCTGCTCTCGTGAGAACTACTCCCCCGACCTGGAGAAACCGCATTCTTTGAGATTTGGCGGGCAAGTACTCACAGCACAGGTAGGGGAGCCTACTTTATGAAAAATTTGTAAGATGCTTTTGGAATGAAGTGCAGCTTGAGGCTTTCCTTTTTGCACTTTTTCTTTGACTCTAACTATAGCAATTAGGACTGTTTTGAAATAGTTTTTAGCTCCTATGGAAACAGAGTGGTCCCTCCATCCCCTTGGAAAAAAAGGGCCTGTGAACTTCAAGGGCTAGGTGACCAGGTGTGGGCCTTGGAGCAGCAATGCTGGCCTGTCATAAAGAGGGACTCTCAAACACAGCACACAAAAGCTGTTTTATAGACTGCTTTTTGTTAAGTCCCCCTTGTCACCTCAGCTCAGGTTTGTTGTTCCTGTCCCTGCCAGGGGTGCCACCCTCTGAGTCTCTAGAATAAGCCAGGCTCCCATCAGAGCGCAGAGTCCTCCCCAGAGGTCTCCCCCCTGCCACCCACTGCCCTGCCCTCTGTCCATGGAATCTGAACTTAGTGATTCATGCCTACAAAGGCAGCCTCCAGTCTCAGAACATGGCAGGTGAGGGCAGGACTTGAGGCTCTCGGGGCCCATCCAGCCACCAGTAGAGAAACCAGTTGGGTGAGCCCGAAGTCCCCCCTGTGCCCTGCTGGTCTTGTGGTGTTTTGGTTTCAGGTTTTTCTTTTGTTCTCAGAGTCTGTTTTCATGAGAAGCAAGAGCACAAACAAAAACAAAAACCGGGTTCTTGTGGGAATATTCCCTAACAAGTCTGCTTCTGTCTGGGGTTTGCGTCAGCGGTTTGCTTATTTTTTATTTTGTAAGATGCGAGTGACTCATCCCCCTTACACTGGAGGGGAGTGTGCTGTGGAAAAACTAAAGATTGATTTTTGTTTTTAGAAGGGACAAAAGTACAATATCAGCTAGCTGATAATTGTGAAATTTTCAACGGTAGAAACTTCCAGGAAAGTCCTTCAGTAACCAAGCTGAGGTAAAAGACGGGGCTTGAGAGCACAGTTGTTTGTATTTTTATTTAAAAGCTAAGAGCCTGCAGCAACTTTAAGTGACATAAGAATTGAGCTGCTGGCCAGAGTTTGAAAGAGATTATCTTTGCTGAAATCATCCCTGCGGTGGCAACTTGCCATGGAGAAAAATATCTGCGTTACTAGCTTTTCTAAACATAGCAACCTCTTCTTAAATAGAAAAGGAACACAATGAGAAAAATGGGCTTTCCATCGGGGAAAGAAGCCCTCCCAGTCCAGTCCCTTCCTGCTCCAGGCCCTGGAAAAAAAAAAAATCAAAAATCTCCCTTAAACCCTTCCATACACTTAGAAACGTGGAACACCGAGGCTTTCCTTCCTCCCTGGTGATGGTCTAAAGATTAAATAATTCACAATGAAGATGCAGTCTTTCTCACTCATTTCTCCAACTTGTTCAGAATACTGATTCAGCTCGGCTGTCTTCTCAACAAGCGCTGGAGTTCCTGTCTCTGTCTTCCCAGGTCTCTGTCTTCCACAGGTCATACCTGTGGGTGCTGGGGAGGTGACCTCAGGTCTACATCCTTGGGCAAGCTTTTTCCCCCACCCCCCGCCCCATGCTCCAATTTGTTCTTCTAAGCCTGAGGTGAGGTAGCTCATTGTTATTCTGTTTTCAACATTTTTGGTAGAGTCCTTCATTGTAAGAGCAGGCATTATGTGATTTGAGGACTCAAACACAGTGATTTGAGTCCTTCCTGGTACCCTGTCCCCTTTCCTCAGAAAGATGGCTTCTCTTTGAGATACACATGTGATCACTAGACAGAAGTTTCAAAGTTGAGAAACTTGCACAGCAGCTGCCAGGGTTGGGTCTCATTAACTGGCCGGGCCGCTCTTCTGATGGTCTTGCATCGCGGAGCTTCCTCTGTGTGGCGTTCCCAGCTTTTTGTTCTTCCCTCACAGGCCACAGTCATGTTTAATTTAGAATCCAGGCTCCTTTGGCAAATTAGCAATTAGAACAATTTTGTGGGAATATGTATATGTGTCATTAGTTTTTCTGCAAATTAATAGCAAGGGCAGAGGTCAGGCAGAAATTTTCCACTTGACTGAAGCCCTTCCATTGAGACTTGGCACTTGGGTTTGGAATGGCCACAGCTGCTCCCAGACACCCTTTTCCTCTAGGAACTGTCGTTTAATTAGTTTACCTCATAGCCATCATTACAAATATTACTGTCGCCCCTCCCTGAGATAAAATTACTGTTTCTACAAAATATTCCAGCGACATTGTGCACCACTGCACACGGATGGTGGGGTCAGTCGAATGCACCATTTAATCATTAGATCACCTCCATCCGCATCTTCTAATTAGAGTCCTTACAATACATTTTTATCTGGTAATTAGCTGAGATTGGCTGCTTCCTCTGTGGCTTATTAGAGACAGCCCAGCGGTGGGTGTGAATCACGGTGTCATTTGTCAAGCCTGGTAAACCCCTCTCTTCGGGGCTCAGTGTTTACTTCCAGTTCCTACCTACATTTGAAAGCATCCTCAAAATTCAGCTTGCATCACCCTCTTCCTGGACTGGGCAAACCCGGAGGGATCTGTCTTCTCACCGTTGCTGTCTCTAGCAGAACTGATCCAAGTATTAAGCCCCTTATACAAGCTGCGAGAGTCAAATGCGTGCCCATCAGACGGCATGTCTCTCAGTGTGAGTTCATCGGTTCATCCCAGATCTGGCCATTCAGAAAGACGGCCTTGCACCTGCTGAATGATTCCATAGGTTTTGCCGACCTTCCTCATAAACTGGAAAAGAGCAAGTGGACTCTCGCGTTTATCTTCATGGTCTTTTGAGAAAGCCGGGGTGCATGGGATAATGTTTTTAGGTTGAAAGGAGAAGTCAAGAAATAGGGTGAGGCCCCAGAGTTGCTGTCTGGTTTTCTGTGTCCTCTTTCAGCATTAAGCACTTCAAGGACGGCGGCTCTGTGGTTTAGTCCTGCTTCCGGGCCTTTAGGAGTTCTTGGTAATATTTATTGTCGTTTGTAAGCAGGGATAAAGGCTGCTCATGGAAGTTCTTCCAAAAGGAAGCATCACCGAGAAGTCGGAATGGCTGTCGTGTTGAGGTTAGACATGCACTGGGCATAAGTAGAGGGTACAGAGCTGTAGTGCCCTACAAGGATGTGGTTTGACTTTGAGTCTGGGTAAGGGTATGGACAAGCTTCTCTTTCGCTCTCCATAAACCAGGAGTGATTTGTAGAGCCATGCGAATGAGGAGAAGCCTCTCGGGAAAGGCGCTTTAGAGCGTGTATCTTTGTAAATGATACCTGTGGCTTTCTGAAACCTCCTCATGCTTGGGCTTTACGGCAGCTGAATGATCCAAGTTAGGTATTTGGGATCTGAGGCCTGAGGGGAGGAAGAGGTCGGCCTTTGCTCTTCTCCATTGGCATCTTGCTCTGCCCTGTCCCTGGCCTCTGCTCTGAACTTGCTTAGCAAATGTGTGTCCTGGTTAGCTTTCCAGCATTACCCCTGCTTGCTGAAGGTCAGAAAAGGTATGCCATCTCCCCAGCTTGCTGTGCTTGGGCACTAGGGGCTTGTGGTGTGCTGAGTCAGTATTTCACACTGAACATAGGAAAGCTGAGCCGAAACCTCCCAGTCCTCTGTTTAGCTCAGTGCACTAAATTTGGGTTTTTCTGTTAATGTTCCTTTTATGACATCCGATCTTTCCTTTCCCTTCCCTTGTAACTTAGTGCACAGGGTCTCTTTGATGTCTAGTGTGTGAATCTTTGATTCACACACGTTTTGTGGCCTCTTTCATTCCTAGTGGGTGAATTAAGACTGAATCTTACCAACACACTGGAGCAAAGGACTCACTCTTAACACCCTCCATAAATAATACTTGTGCTTAATGTTGAATCTGACAATGACAAAACAGACATTATGGTGACTGCTTTGAAATGGGGTGTGATAAAATATGGCCAAGTAAACATGTACTCTGTAGAAGTTTCTTGAATTTGGGAGAGGTTCTCTGAGTATTTGATACGTGCATAAACATGATAGGAAACACTAGGTTCTTCTGCATTGTCAGTCAAGGGAGTTCCTGTCCAAACATCCTTCCCATTAGTGTAGGAACTGAAAGAAAATATGTAGTAGAATAAAAGGAAAGAAGATATTCATGCACGTTGTTCTACAATGCTTCGGATAACGTTAGCCTGTTTAAAACTTTACAAAGCAACCAAATGTTACAACTTCATAGGAATAGATGTGGGTCTCCTGAGTAAGTGCCACTGTTGAGTGGGAGCCACCATCCCATCATGCGCTAACCCCCCCCACCCCCCACCCCCCGCCTCCCCACCCTGGTCTATTCAGTTTCGTGATGGACTCAAGTCTCCTAACTTCTTGTAGGTCTCTCGTGACTCAGAGCCCTAAGTGGCCACTTAGGAAATCTGTTGCAGTTTTAAGGGGGTGGAGGGAAATCTCAGGCAGCAGCCCAGCTTTCGAGTTTGGGTGGTACACTGCCGAGAGTCGCCCAGCCCAGGCCAGGTTGATACCGCTGTATGCCAGCTGGTGTTCCTTCAGTCCTCAGCCTCGCTGGCATGCAAAGGAGAACACCTCTAATTAGAAGTGAATCCCGTGGCAACATACCAATTTCGCGAGGCAACCCTTGCCAGGTGTCCGCCTATCTTTCCTACGGGACGAGAGAGGTTTTCTTGGTTGCTTGGGTTTCCATTGTTGTTTGATTTGGTTTGGTTTGGCCTTTCTCAGGTCCTTCTAACCAGCATTGTTCTCCTCACAGCTGAATCTGGTATCAAGTGTCACCCTCTCCAAGTCTGCCTCGGAGGCTTCTCCACAGAGCTTACCTCATACTCCAACGACCCCAACTGCCCCGCTAACTCCCGTCACCCAAGGCCCCTCTGTCATCACCACCACCAGCATGCACACGGTGGGACCGATCCGCAGGCGGTACTCAGACAAATACAACGTGCCCATTTCTTCAGGTAGCTGCTCTGTCGTTGCCCGGGGCCGCATGGGGAATCTGCCGTTCATGTCGATGAACCTCTTGTTAAAAAGTGATCATTAATAGGACAATGATTCTTATATTTAGCAGATATTGCGCAGAACCAAGAATTTTATAAGAACGCAGAAGTTAGACCACCATTTACATATGCATCTTTAATTAGGCAGGTGAGTAAATAACACCGTTCATGAAATGCTATCCAAAAGGTGAACGTGGGTATATGATATTGATGAAGAAGATTTAAAACCACTTAGTATGCAAGCATGCTAAAACCTTTTCTATAAGGTTTTTTAAAACTGCAATATATAACATAATTGCTTTTGATTAAGTATTACAATACGATGTGATTATTAGGGAATTCATTTCACACAACAGTGAGAATGAGGCTGTTTAAAGATGGCAAGTCAATTATCACAAAGCTACAGTAATCTCTGATCCCTAGAATTAATCTGAGCTCTAAATAATTACTGAACTTTAATCAGCTGGTGAAATGTTTTGCATTTCTCTTTGATTCTGCTTTATGAATGACTAATAAATTAATATTTCTGTACGGAAACAGAAATAAAAACTCCAAACAATTAGATAATTTTATTTCGAGTTTTGCTATTGAACTGTTGAAATACAACCGTTAGTCTTCGATCATTTTGTGAAAGCTGTCTGAGGAGTTTGCTCCAAATTCTAGTTTCTAGTTTGTTGGTCCTTCTTGCTTTGTTTTGTTTTGCATTTTCATGAACAGTCACATGCTTCTGCCAACTGGATCATAAATTACCTTCTCTGGATCCCTTTTGCTCTGCAGGCCATTCTCGAATCTCCAGAAAAGCAGCTAACACTAAATGAAATCTATAACTGGTTCACACGAATGTTTGCTTACTTCCGACGCAATGCAGCCACGTGGAAGGTAGGTTTTGCAGTCTTGCATTTGACCTTTATAGAACAGAGGTTGTAGTGGAGAAAATTCAGTTACCGGGTGACGAGAATATTCTCTTTGCACTGGGGATGTGTCTGCGAGAAGGGTTTTTGTTGTGTTGAAAAGTTCAAATGGAAGAGGCACTCTGCCCCCACCCCCTTCAAGAGAGGTGAGGATAGACCAGCTGGAGAATGCTTCGTAGGGAAAAGAGATGACATTGTGACCCTTAGCTCTGAGGTTGGCCTTATTACTTACACAAACCACATGTCATTCATTAGTGGGTAACTAAGAGTCATTTACAGGGGTGCGCTTAGGAACCTAGAGACACGACCAAACTGAACCAATCCTTCAGTGGTTAGATCCTAGCTCACCAACCACACAGCAGAGGAAGCTGTGTAATCCATGTACTCACAGTAAGAAGGGTGGTTTCTGAAGAATGCACGGTTTCCCCATTCAGGGGCTCAGGGTTACCCTGAGGAAGAAAGGTGATTTCCCCACTATGTGATATGACACTATTTGCCACAGAACAGGTCAGATTCCATAACTCTGCTAGGTAACCCCCCTAAAGCACTAGGAGTCCCTTTTAGGTTTCACGGGCTCTTATTCCATTGAGCCTTCCTGGGTAGGCATGGTGGTGCATGCCAGTAATCCCAGCATTTGAGAAGTAGGAAGGTTGCGAGTACAAGGCCAGGCTGGCTTACACAAATAGCCGTCACAGCTTTTTTCAGCTTCCTACCTTTAATTTCTTGCACTCTGCCAAGGAGATCTTTTTCGTACCACCTAGTATTTAGGCTTTGTCCTTATCCGTAATTTCACCAGGTGCTGCTATTACAGGAAACAACTTCCTTAATTTAATCGGAGGAACCCTGCTTTGGTTTTCTCACATTCTATAGGAAAATGAGTATAGGCCCAGGATTAATTCAGTAGCCACATGGGGGCTGACGGGAAACTGTGTTGTAGATCTGAGCCTCTTTCCCAGCCTGCCTCAGGAGATAAAATACAAAGGCTCTTTAGCTACAAATCTTTTAAAAATTTAAGAAGTAGAAGCGTGAAGTAGGCATTTTCTTCAAATTGCTTTTTTATAAATACCAAATGATCACATTTAAAAATAATTGCTGCTGTGAATATGAATTTCAACTTCCACGTCCCGTTTTCAGCTTTGCAAAGTAAAGGCAGAAGTGATGCTAATGCAAACATCTTAGAGATGTACCCATTGACTCATCAATGTGGATAATTTTGCTCCGCGACCTTACTGGGACGATGATCTGAAAGACAAAATGAAATAGTGTCGTTCATTTTTTCTTTTTCTTCCAAACAAAAAACAAAACTCTTGATTTTTTGTTTCTTTCTGCTTTAATAGCTAGCCCTCAAAATCATAAGTCATTCTTTTATCAAAAATGGCCTCTAGGGTCTTTCAGTTTTTGTGCATTTTGATACTTTGGTAAAATTTTGAACCGTGGTCGATGCTGCCTTGTTCCCCGGCTACCTCTCGCATGGGTGTCCACGTGCTCTCTTGGTTTTGGAAGGGAACTGGCTTTATTTACTTCGGTCTCCTCCTTGCTGTTGGAGCAGATAATTCTCCATGAAATGGAAAGAAGAAATTATTTCCCTAAAAGCTAGGTTGCATTTATATGCACAGAGCTTTGTTCTTAGGCAACTCATCAAGAAGTTTTCGATCAAGGATACCCTTTGAATAATCATGGTATCCCGACTCTCCGTCCAGCTGCACTCAAAGGCCGCCTGTGTGCTCGTTCTGGGGATCCCACCGGTGCACACGTCATCACATACGTAATAAAATTTGTCCCGTTGTTCCCTCAGTACTGTTATCACAGAGAAGAATAACTTTTAGGTAACCTGAATCCTCTTAGTCCCCAACTGTCATGGTCCAGAAATCTCAGAAGCCTTTCAGAGTTTCAAGATTTGCCACCAAGAGAGCAAATTGTGGTAGGAGAAGAGTGTAGCCTGTCTCAGCGGCTTCTATATCAGGTGCCCAAAGCCCAATAGATGTGTCAGCTTCCTCTGCCCGCACCGAGCCACTCACTCTGTGTGAGAAAACTGATGAATCCATTGTCATAGTCTCGAGTGCATCATCGGGTCAGCCAGGCAGGACTGAAGTATATCCAGTTTGGTTATCCAGTCAGGGTTGTGGATTTTCCTGGAGACTTTTAAAGCCCTTCACACTAGAATTAAGAACATCCCTTTTGTTAGCTGTGAAGGATCCCATTTAGCAATGGCCAACGATGACTTCTAAACATAGAAACCAACTGCAAGAACATAGTCGTTTTGCCATTGAGAGTCCTACTGGTATGTTCTTGGCATTTGCTCAATTACTTAAAATTGTTCTTCTGAGTGATTACCCATGTTCATAAACATTCTGGAAGGTAAGGCTTAGCTTGATGGTAGAGACTGGCCCCTTGGTGCTGAGATTGCCCCCTAATCATCTTGGCTATACACCTTGGGACTCTCGGTGGTAAAACCTTATTTAGAACTTCCCTTAGTAAAGCCTATGCACGGTTTCTAAGGCAGATATTGCTGTGGGTTTAAAAGTGTTCGCCTTTCATGATTTAAAAATAAATACCTTTTTATGAATCCCATAAAGATGGGGCTGTAAAGAACAGCTTTCATACTGTATACAGCTCCTGGTTTCGACATTGTTTTAACAGTATTTTAGATTTATGTGGAGGGACCTGCTTGGGGCTTGCATGCATATTTACCAGTGTGTCTTCTGGTCACATGGTACCAGAGATTAGGCTTCAATGCCAAAGTACCATTAATTCATAATTTGGTGTTTTTTTCAGAAAAGACACTCAAAGAGGGTCCTCCACGGGGGGAGGGGATGGTGGCTACAGCTCTGGGGGATGGTCTTACAGATGGGGGGGCTGAATGTACTGCTATGTTTTTTTTGGAGTCTTTTCTTATAGAAAAAAAATGTCAATGTTCTCTCTTTTATACTTGCTGCAGAATGCAGTGCGTCATAATCTTAGTCTTCACAAGTGTTTTGTGCGAGTAGAGAACGTTAAAGGGGCAGTATGGACAGTGGATGAAGTAGAGTTCCAAAAACGGAGGCCACAAAAGATCAGTGGGTACGTCCGCCATGTTTGAACTTCTTAGCCCAGCTCGGATTGTGCTACCAAGTGTACCGTAGAGGCTGCTAGGCGGCGTCAGACCAAAGAACTGGTTTTCGTGTTGTCTCAGTTAAGGGAAACGAAAGAGCATTTCATCCCTCCTGTCTCGTATACCCACCAGTCCCCCTGCCCCTGCTTGCTGGTCTCTGTTACATCACATGCTAGTAGCTTTTAGGCGGCGATGCATATTAACCCTCACGAGCCATTCGCTTATGCTTATTGCATTTTATTTTCTTTCTCCTGTTCCCTGTATTGGATGTCTGTTCTGCCCCCAACCCCGTCTCCTTTTGTTGCCACTCCATCTCCTTTGCTGCTGCTCCTATCCCAGGGTGCCATTCGCACCAACCTCTCACTGCATAAGTGCTTTATCAGAGTAGAGGATGAGTTTGGGTCCTTTTGGACAGTTGATGATGAAGAGTTTATACGTGGCCGCCATATTCAACGAGGCCGTCCTCGCAAATACTGCCCCGGTGAAAACTCTGACGAGCTTGGCGCACAGTAAGAGCCTTTACTTGCTTTGTTCTTTTGTTTCTGCTGTTGCTTTGGCTTTGCATGGTTGACTCATCCCATGTAGTATGACATTTCACCCCAGAGCAGTGCCACAGCTTTCTGCAACAGAGACTAAACGGTGTGATTTGTACATGTACCTTGCTCGTTTCTCTTTGGAACGCCAGTGCCTAGAACGATGCTTTAAAAAAAAAAAAATGTCTTTGCTAATGCCAGTGATTGACTGTGTCTTGATTCAGCAGCTCACGGGGACCCTCAAAGCTAGTAATTTCCTGTGTTACTCACCATCCCTGCAAGTGAAAGGAAATGATGGTTACAGTATATATATCTGATTTTTTTCATGATTTTTTCCCTATGTGAATACCAAGTAATAGTAATTATGAGTAACTGAAAAATATACCTAGCAAGCTAGGCGTGGGGTGCGTGCCTGTACTGACAGCCCCCAGGAGGCCGAGGCAGGAAGACTGCACATTCCGGCGCAGCCTGAACTTTAGCGAGAGACCCTGTCTCCAAAACTGAAAAGCAAATTGTCCTAAGCACGGGGAGAAAAAGATTGATAATGTCATTTCCTTCAAAGTCTGTTGATAAATGAACCTCATTACCTACTGGAAGCCACACTTTCCCTCAGTATGTCCAGTGTAATTTTGTAGTGTTTTTATTTTAACTGGGGGCAGAGATCTTTTTCTATTAAAAAAAAAGTACCTTGACTTCTTTTACCTAGTCAACAGCCATAACACCAAATTAGAGTGGGATATGCAGGAAAGGCAGCAGCTGAGACCCCTGCTTTCCAGAGCAGGGATAATGATGCCATTCCTCTAGCGGTCAGGATCAAGTTCAAGTAAGAGTGGAGCCTCTCAGCAGAGGCTCCCCATGCAGTCCCAGGCAGCCTGCCTCCATGTTAGGCTCTCTCCTTCCTACGGAAGTCTGCGGAAGTCTGGGCGGCAGCTAACCCTTTGCAGACTGGCCTCCGAGGGAAATACCCCTGTGTTAGAATATAAGGCAGCGTCCCCTGGGCGAACAGCCCGGTTCATCCCACGGTCTTCACCCAGACCAACCCTGAGAAACGGAGAAGCTTTAGCTTTCCCTTCAGTGCGGTGACTGGGAGGGGGGAGAATCCCAAATGTGGAAAGGCTACCAGCGAACTTGAACACAGAACATAGTAAGGCCCCCTGGGTCGATTGCATTTAACTTTGAGTTTTTATCTTTTTCTTGCACAGTAACCCTTCCCTTATTAAAAACATGCAGAGCAGCCACGCCTACTGCACACCTCTCAATGCAGCTTTACAGGTAAGATTAACGGCCATCCCCACTCCGCAGCACCGGCACAGGGCTCCCCCACTCATTTCAAAATATATTAGCCTCGCTCTAATTAGATATTAAATTTTAATTCCGTTAAACTTTTTTCTTAAGTGCACAAAGCATCGTTCTCCCCGGAGGCAAACACATCGGGCTGCTTCAGCATTAGCAGGATGCTCAGCATTTTGAATATTGTGGCAAAAAAAAATTAAAAGTTCACTTATTAATATTTATCAGCAGTATCATAATTTCCATCCTCTTATTTCAGAATTTCACTTGAGGCAAAAATACCACAAGTGTAATTACTCTAGCACAGCTATTAATGTGCTGGATGATAGGCCACCGTGTCACGTGACCTTCCATTGTTCACAGGTTTAAAGAGAAAGCGAGGCGTTATTAAAGTCCATTTCAACACCTTTCCTTTCTGTGGGAGTGGGGTCTGGGTTTGTTTCCTCTTGTGTAAGTCAACTGTTGAAACAACAGAAAGCTCAAGGAAAGCAGACGTTTCCGGGCAGTTGTTCAGGCAAACCTAGTCGTCTAGAATGTTTGTTTCCCACTGGCATGTAAATCACATATTACCTCAACAAGAGTCCTAGAAGGTGCGTGCCCTGGGCGTGAGCGACGGGAGGGAAAATCTGTGCGCCTGTCTAGCCAGTCTTAAGTTTCTTGTTCCTCACAGTTACCACATCACCAAGCTATGTCTAAAATGAGCAGAGTATCTGGTATCACTTCTTTTAAATACCTAATTCCATACCCAGATTTCCCTTAAGAGCTCAGAGGTAGCCAGGATCCTTGGAGCCATTGTTTCTATGTGGAAAAAAAAAAAAACAAAAAAACCCACCTTGACCATTCTAGAAGACAGGCCAAAATGAATCTTGCAGCATTTCCATCACATAGGCCACAGACAAATCTCTCTTTAGCCAGGGCAGACTCCCAGCACCGTTCAGTGCGGTTACTGTAGCGCCCCATAATAGGGTGTTGGATTCAGTGATGTCTCAGAAGTGTTAGGGTCCTGCAGAAACGCCCAAGTGAAGGCAGAAATAGAGAAACAAACGCCCCGAAAGGGATGCCGGTGGGAAAAGGCTTGGAACACATGGCTAAGCGGGAACTGGATGGGGGAGGAAGAGTCATTGGCAGCAGCCCGACTCACGCTACTTGCTAAACAAATATTGACTGAGCCCCTATTCTGCGTGCCCCAGACCTGTCTTCCAGCTCACCCGCAGCATCTTAAGGCTCCTCGCGGATCATGTGCCCCAGCACAGTTCAGGGCAGACGCATTGAACTGAGCGTCTTAGTAATTCCATTTATTTCCTTTTAGCCTGAACTAAATTTACTAGGAGAAACTACTTTCTGCGTTTTTTTTTTAATTACTCCGTGGTTTACGTAGTAACTTTAGAAGAGTAAATGAAAGCCTGCTTACACATGCCACTGTAAATACCATGCATTAGTAACTTATTTTCCCTGGAGTCTTGTGAAGTATGAATTTAAAGGCGGCTCTGTGTGGAATGGTATTAAAATTACAAGCACATTTTACATTCATGAGACGGAAAGGGGGGGAAAAATAAGGATCCTCATCCTTTGGATTCCCTTAACTCTGCGACTAATTTCAATTAGCGTGCTTTATCGTTACAGACGCATTCACGCTCCATCTCTGAGACCTTTGCTTTTGTGCCCACCGCACACTTGCGTGTTTCCCCTGCTCACCCAAAACTGTCCCGCCACTTTCCAGGGACCCTTTAAGGAGTGTCTCCTTTGCCCCTCCTCTTGAATTTGGATTCCCCACCAGTAGACAGCCAGTCATACAAGACAGCTTCCTGCCATGCAAATTAAATAAAGACCCCACCAGCAGGCCTTCCTTTCCATTATCACCCACTTCCATTTTCAAGGCGAGTAAAAATAACAGTGCAACAATATCTTAAAAAAAAAAATTACTAGAGCTACATAACGGCATGATATACAATTTATAAAATAGGACAGCAGAATCCACTACAGAAATAAAACATGGGGCTCGGGACAGATTGCATTATGCTCTGAAAAAGTGAAGTAACTACGGGTAACCGTAAAGCTTCATATTTATAGACTGCCTTTCCCCCGGGGAGCGCAGAGCAGTTAACGTTCCAGAAGCCGTGGTTCTTGCAGACTCGCGTGCCGTCACTTAAGAACCTTTGTGTTCCTGACAGAGGTGCCAGTTTGCTAGGAAGCCACACACTGCGCCCAGGATCATTTATGTAATTAAGTCTATTATAAACATTGTGATCCATCTGCTCCTAAGAGCATCAGCGTCAGGGAGGACCTGTTAGACGGTGATGATGTATGGGTTGCTCTGGTCCTTCACTCCGCGAAGGACTGTGGAAGAGGCACAGTGGTGGGCCAGGCCCCAGGACCTTCCTGTGGCCCAGTGATTCGTGTTTTGTGTAAAGGAACAAGACTGGTTGTCTGTACTGACATCGTGCCTGAGAGTTAAGGGACCAAGACAAGGTCTTGCTATTGGGTGACTTTCATGACTGTAGCTGCTGGGCCTCTTCCCACAATCCACACGGTCCACTGTCAGTCAGAAGTGGCTTTCACCATATTACTTTGAGAATAAAAAAGAATAAACAGATACTCATCTTAACAGACTACAACTTTTTTTCCCCATGGTTTTTACTTCTCAGTTTGGGGCTTTGGAATCCAATAAAATATCAAGGTAACAGTGGCCCCAGCTTCTTTTCCCATCCTGACCACGCAGCAGGGGAGGAGTCTAGTGAGAGCAGATCCCATGATGCCTCCACTGAGAAGGCCACCCAGTTGACAGTCAAAGCAGCACTTACATGACAGGGAAATGTGACCACTGTGTGGTCTCACATAAGGCAACTGAAGATGGCAGCCCAGCCGCAGCTGGCAGTAATATTACACTGCCAACTGTTCTGCCCAGAAAGAATAGAAATGTTTCATTGCAATTATAAAAGATGCATTTAGAAAGTGCTGGGTGCGAGCAGATTATCTGGTAAACCGTAGCAGACTGGGAAATGGTCAGCACACCAGGGAAATCGTGAGACACTGCCCTCCTCCCTTTACTTTTAAAAAGGAAGCAATAATTGCACGGGAGAAAGAGGGAGACATTGGGTTTTATGCAGGGAGCAGGACTGCAGCTGACTACCGGGCAGGCTCCCTGCAGCCCAGCTCTGGTTCTGCTTTCTCTTTGTTTCTGGCTCATACCTTCTCTTTGGCGCCAGCTTTTCCAGAATAGTTAGGGCTCTCACATGGTGGGCCAACTGAAGCCACCCTGCCAGATTGTCTTGTGATCGTACTTTCTCTCATTAGGATGGGAAACCAGGCATAGTGTAGTCTGAAAGAAGACAATTTTGATAAATCTTCATCTAATTACAGCTGCCTCTTTTTCCAAGTCTGTCCTCCTGAATAATAAAATGAAAAGTCACTGGGGCACACTTCCTACCCAAGAGAAACAAATGGGGTTCCTTCAGTCCCGCGGTATTGTTTGACAACTGTCTGCATTGCAGACAGGGTGGCCTTTATAGCTACATTTGGTATGATGGATAATGAACAGTAGTCTACCAGACTTTGGTTGGAGGGTAGATTTTTTTGGGGGGGGACTAGTCCTTTCCATACTTTTTTTTTTGCTGACATTTATTTGGAGTGACTTTGTCACCTTTAATATCGATACACTTGATTGTAAAGGAAATAAGATTCAGCCTTTCTTTTTGCTAGAGATTCCTCTTCACCTCCGAAGTCCTCCATGACTGGTCTGAGGGTGAAAGACTGCGGTTTTACCTTCATCTGGTCATGTCAGCCTTCACTAAGCAGCTCCAAAAATTATTAAGATGGGAATGATGAGGGAGAAAAAATTGATTCCAGTTCTATAACCTCTTCCTTTCCTATGGGTGTTTATGGAAGTTCTCATAAATTTGAGCCATGTGGCCATATAATCTGATCAGATCTTGGATATCCAATAGTGGAGTCATCAAAAATGGATAAAGAAATGAAAATTCCATTATATTTCACTATGATCTGGAAATATTCAGTCCTTCCTGGAAAAAAAAAAGGCATTGGATATACACTTCATATTAGATACTTTTGTCTAAGCCATGTGACTCCACAAGGCAGGACCCAGCAGGCGACTTCACCTGTGGACTTATCGGTGCCCAGATTAGCTTATCCAAATGAAGTCCACGGCTCCCAAAGCAAAATCCTACAGCTCCTGGGAATTGTCAGCAATGATTACCGTGAACTTGAACCAAAGGCTGTTGAACACACCGCACGTTCATGACACAGAACTTTCTTGTCTTGCCTCCCCGACAATTTCATTGGCTTTCCTTTGGTTGATGCAGGCTTCCATGGCTGAGAATAGTATACCTCTGTACACTACCGCTTCCATGGGAAATCCCACTCTGGGCAACCTGGCCAGTGCCATCCGGGAGGAGCTGAACGGGGCCATGGAGCACACCAACAGCAACGAGAGTGACAGCAGTCCGGGCAGATCCCCTATGCAAGCTGTGTGAGTACTGTCCATCCATTTCTTTGTCACCTAACCCAGTCTCCCCGGTAAACGTTCAAACGAGCTCTTCACTGGCCCCTCTCTACGCCTTTTCTATCGTTTCTGATTGCTTAAGAGCCTTAGTGTCGCTTGTTAGTGCATAAAAGGACTAGTTAGCAACTCCCTCGTAAAAGCAATTGGCTTCATCCACGGTAAGTGCACACAGCAAGAAAATGAGAAGTTTCCCCCACTCCGTGCCTCAGACCGTTATTTAAGTCATACTGTGATTTTTCTCCTAAAACCAGTATACACCTCTTTGAGAAAGCTCCTGGCGTGTTCAGCTTCCAGGCAAGCCGAACCGAGCGAGGGGAAAGATGCTTGTTTACTTGATTGTGCGCTAAGTTTAACCACTTGAGCTCGACACTGCAGCATTATTACCAAGCATTAATGATGGCACAAATGAAAGGCGGCGTGATTTATAGATTGCTCTTAAAATATCAAAAGGAAAATTAATAGGAGCATTACAGCAGCAGACGGCGGGATAATGAGCGCACATATAACCGAATGAAGCAGTGGGCGCTGGCTCCCTGGGCTGAATGCGAATGACCCCAGGACCACACAGATCTCAGCAAGGCCACCAGGTTGGGGGCGCCCCTTTGTCCCCTTTTGGTTCCTAGGAAGGGCCTCACAACAGAAAAGAAACCCCATGATTCCGGATGCTTGGGTGCAGCGTGTCTGCCCCCCCCCCCCCCCCCCCCCCGCCGCCTCCGTCTCGGCGAGGTTCTCCAAGACCGCGGCCCACTTGAAGTGACTCAACCAGCTCAGTGTTTCCAGCGCTGTCCGCTCCAAGAATGGGCCGCTTGTCTGCACATTCCTTCTGGATTACTGACCAGCATCTTATTTTTAGGAAATCTGAGGGATGGGAACATGTGACCTTTCACAAGTAGGGACGGAATGAACTGGCATCTGGGGACAAAGGAAAAGGTGGCCACGGCCAGCATGATGGGGAAATCTGAGATTTTGCTTTCTAGCATTTGAATCCCATGCCCTGCGTGCTTCAGAAGAGAACTTTAGAGGTGGGCGTGACGGTTTTTCTAGTATGTGGGCATAGCCTCCCAGCACCAATACTCTAGCATTTTAGGAAAGCGTGTGTCTTTACCACTATTGCCACCGAATTTCATCTTTCCTAAAGCAAGCTGGCATTTCTGGCTCTTTTGTTGTCTCACCGATATTCAACATTGTTGGGACATTTTATTTCAATATTCAGGAAGTTCAGAGCAGCACTGAGTAGCATAGAAGCCACTCCAAGACTTATGCATTGAGCAAGAATACATGAAGTCACTGAGTGGAAGGCACCTGTTTTCTCACAATCTGTTCAGACTTCAAGGTGTAATTCATCTTATTATCCTATTAGTAGAACGAGCAGTAGAAAAAGAAAAGTGGTGGAGAGAAGGCTGATCATGGAGAGAGCCTGTCCGTGATGGAAGTTCATTTGCTTAACAAGATTGAACGAACAGCAGACATACCAAAACACTATATTTGGCAGCAGTCACCCTACAGTGTAACAAAGCTTCAACTACGAGAGAGAGAGAGAGAGAGAGAGAGAGAGAGAGAGAGAGAGAGAGAAAGTGAGCGAGCCCCTGCACAGTGCTGTCAGATACAATGCTCACGCATCAGGGTTTACGCCATGTGCCCCGTGGTGCTCTGGGCCGACCACAGCTTTCCTGGGCTCCTATCAGTGTCGCAGCCAGTTAGTCTCCCTGACCCCATACTTCCATTAAGTGAGTTCTGTAATGACAGAGATTTCATTCTTGTCCAGTGTGCATTACCCTGCTAGGATGCAAATTGTTTTTTAACTGTTCCAGTCTATTGGAATAAATCAAGCCATAAACTTTACAAGACACTGTTAGGACGCTGGCCCTGCACACAGGCAGTGTTGCAGTACAATTCTCTGCGCTTCCCTTTGCGGTGACACAAACCACAGCATTACCTTTCTCTTTAAAAAAAAATGGTAGAAGGTAGTCACACAATGATGGTTGGGGGCAGTGTACTTTTATGCAGGAGCTAAAGGACCACCATACCACAGACTCTTGAACAGGGACACAATGCCTTTAAACACTAGCTGGCTATAGTTAAAATAAAAACCCATGTGTCCCTAGGAAGGCTGTACAAAAGGATTACTCAGATGTAAGGGGAACAGAGAGATGGTGTTTTGCTCCATTATCCATTGGGAGCCCTTTTGGAAATAGTAGGCCTGGTACTGGGAGGCTTAAGAGGGCCCTCCACTGTGCAGCCCTATTCTGTAGATGCACTGTGTATATGCCCAGTGGGCGGGAAGCCTTTCACAGTCTGAATCTTACCTGGAAGGCTGAAGAATCCTTGCTGTCATACCTGGTGTTGATTTTTCAGGACATCATATAGCAGATGCAGTTGGCGGTATTTGTTGGCCATCCATTCTGTGTTAAGCACTAGGGTAGACCATGCAAACATGTCAGCATCATGACCTGTGTTTGCGGGCAGTAAATACTCAGTGAATTCAGGGGAGAACAAAATAGTCTGCGGTGTTAGGAAGTCAGATTTGGGGAAGCCTTCCGTTGGTTGTTTGGGGCTGAAGCTAGAAAACGGTGGTTTACAGTCATAAAGCAAGACTGTCACATCAAGATGAGCCTATATTTTCCTAGGGTTTCTGACCCTTACCTCTAAGGCTTTGTGTAATAGCCTCAGACTGCACCATGCGAACCAGAGATTAAGTACTAAGTGTGATAGCTTTTAGAAATTAAGCAGGCGAGTGTTATTCTGAAAAATAGCAGTTGAACCTCAGTAACAGCTTAAAAAATAATGGTTTTGAAAGGGCAAATTCCTGTTGCTGGACGTTAGTAAGCCCACATAGTGAGTGGTGATGGAATGATTCGTAAGTCACTGTTCTCCGTAGAGTGAAGTCGGGAGACAGAAATACGCGTCCACTGTGCTTATTAATGCAGGGGGTGCAGTTCAAGGTGATTTGGACCATACTGCACACCTGTGAGACCACAAACTGTTTTTTCAAAGTAACACTTGGGACCCTGACATCGAGTCTCACTTGATAGCACCCCTCTGCAAATTAATATCCCAATAAATCAGGAGAGCCATAAAGATGTTTTGGCCTCTGCTCCAACAATTCCATTCTTAGACATTTATCCCAAGGAGGTAAATCAACAGAAGGAGAAAGATTAATGGCTAGCAGTGGTTCACTGTACTCTGTGAACAGTGGAGGGGAAGGAAGGCGGCTGCAGAATGTCCAGTGTAGAGGGAGTGGCTTATCAACAGATGGAATCGCACATAACCAGAAAAACTGTAACGGAAAAGCCAACAAAATACAAAAAAGAAAGAAAATAATTCCTGCTGTGTCTAAAATGTGTAATAACATGCTCCCCAAAAGGAAGGGAGGGGTTGGCACCAGCCATAATCCAGGCTGACTACATACAGGCAAGCGACATGGTGCCCCAAACTTGGAGTAACACTAGCTACCCTCTTTGAAATGTTTGGTTTTTCTCCTGAAGTGCATATTTTTCATTGAGGAACTCTGCAGACTAGGTCGCCAGGCCTAGGCCTTGTTTCAGACCCAAAGATGAGCCCAGCTATTCAACGTTCTAAGTAGCTGGAAACCCACATAGAGGGTATACGGTGGGACTCTGGCTTGTTGTGCAAATGGTTTGTAAGAATATGGGGTACAGTTGTTTGGAGCTATTTATCTGACTTCTAGCCCCCCAGACTCCCTCTTTGCTGTGCTAATTTTAGTGTCATTTGATTGGGAAGGATCCTGTCTTCCAGGGCAGGCCTCTGTTTTTAAATGGTTCCAGGGGCCTTTGGGGCTTGCATACAGCATCAATTCTTTCGGAAGCCAGCCATCCCCAGTACCACCTCTTATTACTAATACTTGATAATGTCCATTAGAAGTCCCTCCCCCCTTGCAGCCTATTTCAGAGATGGGCACATTTTAACTTGAATGGTTCTTTTACATATCAAAAGCGCCCCCACAACAGAAAGTCATTCATATTTGCAAAAGATCAGTTGTAAATATGATTTACGAACAGCTTTTCACAGTTGTTATCAGAGTGGTTTTGTGTGATCGTGCCAGCCCCCTTGTGATGAACCAAGCCCGAGTCCATAATGAGAAAGTTGGCAGCTCTCAAGGTAGCTAGAGTGTCCGGGTGGCGGCTACCAGCCGGGCCTCGTGTTTTGCCTTGTTTACAGCTGACAGCGTTATTATTCTGACTGGGGCTCTGCTCTGCTATCGTATTGTTGTGTCGAGCAAGCCTTTTCCTCTCCGTTTGTGTTTCCTGGCAGGGCTTTTCTTGCCTTATTGACAGTTTGTAAAAATATGCATTAATTTGGAGCTTCAAGCATGTATCATGGTGTCTCTTTGCTGTGTTTGCTTGAAGTTGATTAATGATAGACCCTCGCTCGGGGTCGTCCTCTGGAGAGTTCTTTCACAGGTTCTGCATGTTAACTAGCAGAGCAGAACACCCAGCGAGCCATGATTAGCCCAGCCAGCCTCCTGTGCTCAGTGGTCCCCGCGAACCACTGCTGTATTACAGATTCCCATTTCACGTAATTATTTGTGGGGTGGCATTCATCCACCCAGGATGTCGCTACGGGGCCTGTTAGTTGGTACTCAAAAGTATGATCCTGGGACCAGCGCCATCACCTGGAATCTCTTAGAAATGCAGGTCTGAGCTCCATACTCTGCACTGTCACAAGGTCCTCTGGTACCTCGGGTGTCCGGAAAAGCAGGACAAATGATTTCTGGACAGGAGACTTTGTAAAACAAGAATGTCCAGAGTATCTCTCAGCACCAGTGGTATTACACTGAGCAGTCCAGAAGCTCCGGGCCACGGTCCCTAGACCCTTGGAATGTAGGCAACGAAAATGAGCAACAGACATTACGTCATAGCAAGTTTCCCACCATAATTGAAAAACACGTGTGGCTAGGGTCACTCTGCCTCTACTGGATTATGTCTTTTGGTTGCCCCAACAGTGGCCCATGGATGACTCTCTAAACCTGTTTCTCTCTCTCCCTCTCTCCCTCTCTCCCTCTCTCTCTCTGTAGGCATCCTGTACATGTCAAAGAGGAACCCCTTGACCCGGAAGAAGCTGAAGGGCCTCTGTCCTTAGTGACAACAGCCAACCACAGTCCGGATTTCGACCATGACAGAGATTACGAAGATGAAGCAGTAAATGAGGACATGGACTGAACCTCCGGGCGGGCCGACCCCCGAGACCGAAGATTGGGAAAAAAGCAAAACAAAACAAATTTAAAAAAAAAAAAAAAACACGTCAAAAGTTAGCGGCGAAATCGGTCTCCACTTGTTGTACAGTCTGGAGGATTTTCGCTACATTTTGACAACTCTGAAATGTGTTAACTCTTAGTGCCATCAAGAATCCCATTTGGGAGTATTTTTGATTTTTCTACTTTTTGTTGACGAAAGGGATTTGTACTCTGTGCATTGGATGGACCTGTTTGGTACTTGGGATTTTCCTCTTTGAGTCAACATCAGTGTTGTAAATTCGATAAACGGATTCACTTTTCGCAGCAGACTTTGGACTGCAGTTTTGTCCCGCCGAGGCAGACACCGAGGACGCCCGACTGAGCTCGCGCACCTGCGCCACCGCAGACCAAGCCTTCGCTCGCCCGAATTCAAGGTTCCAGTGGACGACCTGTTTGCACAGCACTGCATGTTGATATCACTGCCTTTACTCACTTTGGGTTTTTTTTTTTGGTTTGTTTGTTTGTATGTTTTTGTTTTGCTTCCAGTTGGGATGGGGAAGGCCTTTGTGTGTTTATTGGGGGGAGGGGTTAAAATAATTATCCCAAACTTTTTAATGTATTGCTTTTTTTTTTTTGCTTCTTCTATACCATTTTAAGTTCTGACCTCAGGCCTCCATTTGGGCCCACGGCCTCATGGAGGCTTCACATTTTCTGTACCTTGTGATGAATGTTAATAGGTGTTTTTATTATACAAAGCTGAATGTCATTTCTCGTCTGTAGTTTTCCGGCACTCATTCCATTTTCCTATAGACATCACCACGTTTCTCTCAAGTTTAAAAAAAAAAAACAAAAACAAAACAAAACATTCCGTTTTGGTCTTTTTTCAAAAAAAAAAAAAAATTCCAAAGGCTGCACCTTACACCTGAAGATCCTCTCACAGGGACGTGATGTCCCGCCAGAAAGAGAATGAATGACAGAAGAGAGAAACGCACGCACATACTCTAGGAACATAGCAGGTTCATTTCGCAGAAGCAGTATTGGGGGTGGGATGGGAACGTTTGAGATTTTCCTTTGATTTTCATAGTGCCCGCCATTGTGAGTAACTGCCACCTCGTTCTCTCAGGAAACACAGCCAAGAGAGACACTGAAAAGAGTAAACAATCCTTAATAATTAGACTGGCGTGATGGCCGTGGAAGGCTCTCTCCCCCCTGTAATCCAGTGGCCAGGACCGCAGACTCTGTGTTGTCCTTTCCAGCATGGCTTGCTTTGTTTGCAAAATGACCAAAAAGCCAGCTTCCCTAACTAACTTCCCTCAAGACGGCAACAGTACGGCTGAGTTTGTGCATCAGTTAAGACCCGCTTGGTGGCTTTCCTCCGTTTTAATGCAAATGAGACTTCATGTTGAACTTGTTCTGGGAGTTTAGGAAGACTGAGCTCAGCGGGTGCTGATGTGTCCCTTTCCAGCGTGCAAAGTCAGAACTGCAGTTCTGTGTGCACAGACTTAGCCATTGACACCAGTAGACAGACGGAGGCTCCTGGGACCAGGGCCCACAGAAGGCCATAGCTCTAGGTCAGTGTAGCCCTCAGCCCTCCAGACCCCTCACACTCCCATCTGCACCCACTTCCCTGGCACTCATTTATCTAGGGCTATAGCTTTTGTTTGGGTTTAGTTTGAGAGCCTTTTGGAGCTTAATTTATATACTTTGTACCTTTTATTTCTAAAATTACCAAAGATATTACGCAAAGGTAAATTATTTTCTTTTATGCTTTATATGATGAAGCCAAATATCCTCTTATTGTTGATCAAAGGAGGCAAAAGGATTCAGAGGCAAATGATGAGGTCCAGGCTATTTGCCAACCTGAGGGAAATAACTACCCCTCCAACAGAGGTCATTTAGCAGACTAAGTAGGCAATGGAACCAAAGTTTTTTTTTTTTACTTTTTTCTATTTTTTTTTTCTTTTCTGTACCTGTACAGAGACCAAAACTAACTCCTGTAAGGAGAAAATCTGGGGCTACTGCAGAGAAAAAGCAGACAGGAAAACAGTATTATAGCTCCTACGGAAAGAATGGGGTACCATCTCAAAGAAATGAATGTATGATGCTGAAAATTAGCGTATAAATCAAGGAGACACTTAGGATGAATTCAGAGGGAATAGAAAAGTGTCTGACTGCACTAGGCCACTTCTAGAATAAAGAGATTTTTTTTTTTAGAACATTCGTATGCCACTTTTGTTAAGGGCTGTGCTGTGATCACTGCTTTAATTTTGTTTTATCTGGGCATATATCTTCTAGTTCCTTTCTGCGCTTTGCTGTTGTTTCTCCTTTTTCAGATTATGACTTGCTCAGCATTCTTTCACTTACACACACACGCACACACACACACCAAAAGGTGACATTCCCATCCACTCATACGCTCAGAATAGAACGTCTTTGGCAATTACTTCTGAAGCTTTGCTCTGCCTTCAGTAGAGGGGGCGGTCTGTGCTTACTCATGCCCCCCCCACCCCCCCGCTTTTCCAGGCAGCTTCACGATGGTGCAGGCGGTAGCCAGGCAGGGTCCTGGGAGGGGGGCCTGGGCTTCGAACCTGAGTGGTTGCTGGTTAGATATTCCGAAGAGGATAAAAATGGGGTAGATTAGTTCATTCTCAGCATGTGTAGCTAGACACGAGTAACGCCGACAGCATGAGAAGCGCTAGTGCGCATACCTCAGTTCAAACCTTTAGGGAATGATTAAAAAAATTAAAAATATACATTTCACTCAGTTGCACTTAGTCGTATGTCTTGCATGCTTAGTCTAAAGACTGTAGCAGAAAAAAAAAATAAAAAAGAAAAATTAGATTTTACACGTCTTCGCAGGTGTCACAGCCTCGCCGAAGAACCAACTGAAAAAAAAAAGTTCTCAGGCTTTACAGCAAGCAATCTTCACTCTGATTTTTACAGTTCCGATTCTGTCCCTTGGGGGGGATTACAGTCGCTTCTTTAGAATGGGGTTGATTCGGTTGTACATATATCCCAATGTGTCTGTGTGAATCTTTGTCTTTTGTGGGGGAGGGCCGAGGGCAGCTCTTTTTTTTTTTTAATTATTTTATTTTTTAGGTATTGTTCCTAAAAAGGAATAAATGCAAACACCTGTTTGTCAAAACATCTTTGCTTTTTGTGCAACTGCATTTTATTAATGATGCTTTAGAAAAGAAGACAGCCACAGTATCTTTGGGGGAAAACAGTCTACTGTATGGAATGGATTTGCAGTCAAGGCTGCACGTGTATTTTCCTTCTTTGCCCTTGATTTACGAACATGGATGACGTGTTGACATGTGGGAGGAAAGGAGAAATTCCAGAACCCTTTTTTTGTTTTTACTTTTCAATTGTAACATAGTTGACATAATTTGTTTCCTATTCTCATTAATTGAAACATTTTGTACAGGTTTGTGGGGTGGGGTATGTATGAGTGTATGTGTGTGTAAGTGCGCGCACGCGTGTTAATCTGTTTTTGATACATTCCTGTTCCTCGTGTTTATCCTGCCACTGCCTTCTTGACTATCTTAAACAGGTTCCTACGTTTGAAAAGAGAAAAAAAAAAGTTGGTTTTTTTTTTTAAAAAAAAAATGTTCTCTCCTGCTGCAGTCAATATTTTTGCATGATGAAATTCCAGGGTCACACTTTCAAAGTTTTATCAGTAAAGTAGTGATTAATAATGGGAAGTGTTGAAAATATTGAACTTTTTCTATAAAACAGAATTTTACAAGGTCCCAAGGTGTAAAGACAATTTGTTACTTTTTCTTTCTTTTTTAGTAAAAATTAAACAAGTGTGAGGGAGGTTGGCCCATGTGTCAGACACACAGTCAGGATGAGGACCCACCCTTGCTCCTAGGGTCTATCCACGTGAAAAGGCTTAGGCTGCCATATTGGGCCATCAGGACTTACATACATGGTGACCTCACTGCCGATACCCTCCCCACATCATAATACAGTTGACTTGATATTCCCAGCATCCCGTCGGCTGTAATAGAGCAAGCCTTGGTTTAAAAGATAAACAAAACAATAGATAAACCAAAATGTAACGTAATCATTAACTCTTACTTTTGAATTTCACACAAATTCAAATTGAAGTTTCCTCTTTCCCACATTCTAGCTGAGCTCTCTTGTCTCCAAAGGCATACAGCAGACTCTACTTATGACCTTGAATCTTTTGGGTCCCTTTCAGTCAATGTCACCCCCTCCTGACAGTCTGGAAGTGTTTTGCAACTCGGTTTCTCTTTCTTATGCTGAGAAGCAAACGGACAATTGTAACGGCGTCTCGCGGGTCCACTGTAACTCGCTGCAGTCCCTGCCACCCAGGAGCCTGGGTGGAGATGGTGCGGTCTGGGTTGTGAGCGTGGTGCTCTCTGTTTATGTGCTGCCACTAACAAGGATTGTTTTGTTTTGTTTTGTTTTGATAAGGCATAAAAGAATCTCATTCCTTGACATCAACTGTAATTCCATCATTCCATGTCTGTGGATGCAGACAATAAAAAAAAAAAATGTTGTGTAGTCAGTAGTAATTACTGACAGGAGAGCATTCTCAAATGCAATAAAAATGCTGGTTGTTCACACTGGTAGACAAAGTTGCCACAGCCTAAGTTCTTTTCCCCCCACTTCTGACCCGCTGAAGCCCCGGGCTGTCTGTCTCTTAGCAGCAGCTGCTCCATGCCCGATTCACAGCCTGGCGAGCAGGCTGAGGGAAGCTCTTCGCAGAAAGGTTCCAAGGAAAGGTGGCGGGGCTGGCTCCGTCAGAGGGGACATGCGGTCTTCTTCACCAAATTTGATAAAGGAAAACAACAACAAAAAAGATACAAAATGTTTATTACCTAGCACGAAGAACCAAACTAAAATTTCAGAGGAAAGCAATTTCATGAATAATTCATTAACATTTTCACATCTGCAAGATCAGTCATCCAAATAAAATGCTAACGTCAAAACCACGCAGCATCTACAATATTCTCATCAAGAAAGCTTTTGCGTATAATGATAAATGCTTAGATTAGAACAAATGATATTATAAAAATACTCTATCAAAAGCGTGCTGGGTTGGAAGACAGCAGAACCGGATGGAGAAGCCCAGGTCCCAGGGAAACACCTGTGGAGATTATTTAATTCTGTCCCTCTAGAGACATGTGCTTCCTCTCTCTAGCTGAATTCTATCACACACATATAGTCTAAGGACTAATAATGACTGTAACCTTGTCTTTAACACAAACCTCGCTGGTATTATCCTGAAGGAAGCTCTCCAGAGCTACACGTGGTAGTACATTTCTTTAATCCCAGCCTGTGGGTGGCAGAGACAGGCTGGTCTCTGTGAGTTCAAGGACAGCCTGGTCTGCATAGTAAGTTTTAGGACAGCCAAGGCTACATAGGCTCTGTCTCAAAACATCAACCAAAAAAAAAAAAAAAAAAAAAACAAACCAGACCACAGACCACAGCATCATAAGAACCATTGCATCTGTATCTGTATAACTCCAAGAACATCAGTAAAGCTTTGAGCTGACTAGTGTGACCTTGCAGAGAGGCCTTTCCCAGCACAATGTGCCTGCCTGTTTGGAGACAGATTAGCAGGGCCTTGCCTGCATTGTTTATGAATCTACATTTTATACTTTCTAAAACAGTATGATTTTGTTTAGGGTGGGTTTTTTTTTTGGTTTTTTGTTTGTTTTGTCCGTTATTTTGTTTACATTTTGAGACAGGGCTTCAGGATGTAGTCCTTGAAATTCCCCTAAGAAAATCAGGCAACCTGCTTTAAATGTACAGCAATCCTCCTGCCTCGGCTCTCAAATGTTTCAATTAATTAACGTTTCAATCTCTGCCTCCATGCCTGGCTCCTTTCTGTTTCATGTTAAACAAGTAGATATTGTTAGCAAGACATGAAACAGGATCCTCCTCTCATTGATCGCGAGTCTGAAAGCTCTCTAGTCTGATAATTAGCAAGACATTTGAACCTTTAATTCTCACCTGGCTACTAAGAATATAATATCAGGTTTAGCTGAAATCCCCATAATTGTTAGGCTTAAATCCAGATGCTGCTCACAGACTATGCCGTGAGTTAGCTGTGCACACGCATTCCTACTAAAACACCCCGACTCCTGTGCAAGTACAGCCGTGTGAGGTGGGGCTTCAGCTGGCCGATGCACACCATGGTTTAAATTGCCTCTCAGGATTCATTCCGTTGTAGCAATGCTCTTAAATTCATTTCAAACTTGCCCCTCACATAGAGCAGCTGACCCCAAATGCAGCTTCTCCGGTTAAACAGGAACCTTCTCTGTAAAGACCACAAGCTCCGTGTAAATTAACACGGGGAGCTCTGGCATAACCTCTCTCAGCAAAATGGCTAGACAATACAATTAGCCTTTGTACTAGGCTGTCTTCTTCAGGGATGCACGTACCTATGTGTAGACAAGGTATCACAAGTTAGCTTCTCATTGTCGTTGAATCAGAAGACAGTTTCCCTTACTCAAATTAAAAGGGGCTCAGATCTTCACTTAAGGCACTCGTTAGACTGATGAATAGTTTAAGACAGAACTCATAGCAGAAGGGAATTAAATGCAAAAATGCTGGTATAACTGTGGAATAATGTGTGGATTAGAAAAACCATCACTCAGCTGGGCACTGGTGGTGGTGCACACCTTTAATCCCAGCACCCAGGAGGCAGAGGCAGGTGGATCTCTGTCAATTTGAGGCCAGCCTGGTCTACAGAGTGAGTTCCAGGACAGCCAAGGCTACTCAAAGAAACCCTGTCTCAAAACACAAAACAAAACAAAATAATACGCTGTAGCACTTATATTGTTTTTTTTAAACACCATACATACACATACGTTATAGTCCTATACCATTTTATATCCACTTTGATTAGTAAAACCATATTTAGTATCAAATACCAATGCTTAATATCAAATATAAACATGTTCATTTATACATCGGACATGCTCAACGGTCACCTCTGCTCCCCAGCCTCAAACCAAGATGGTGGGTTGGGAAAAGGACAAGCTGCGTGAGTTATAATGTTAATTGAAGGTAACCGGCCTTTCAAGGATTAATCTCGGCTAAGGCGATGATCATTATTTACCAGCCCATGACATTTTTATCACTCATCATTTTAGCACGTTTCCATTGAAAATGCTAAAATGGTTCGTCATAAGGCAGATAACTACTTGAGCTATAAAAATGACCACCACAAGTGGCGGGACTCGAACATTAAATTATCCTGTAATTAATATAGACAGTTAAACTGCCTACCACCAACAGCAATTTAGGTAACCGCATTTGATCAGCTATAAATTGTAACTACATTAAAATTCCAGAAATATTAGCAATATGGATTATTTGATGGAAGTCTGCGCTGATCAACTCTCTCGCTCTCGCTCTCGCTCTCTCGCTCTCTCTTTCCTCTCTCTGCCGAAGCCCAGGTCAGGTTGACTACAAATCCATGGGCGAAGATCAGGCCAGAGCACTTTTAATCTCGTGAAACAAGCAATTACAAATAGTTGTATCGATTTGTTAAAAAGCTTTAGGTGACATAAATTGTTTCCTGTTTAGCTTATTGCTCTGATACATAAATGTCACCAAGTCCAATATTAATTAGGGCCCCAGAAAAACACGAGGTGGCCATCATGGGTTCTGTTCTAGAATTCGTCACTCCTTTTGTGAGCCTTTTTGGTCGCTTCTCACCCACTCATTCCTCATTAGTGACAGGCCGAGGAAAGGAAAACGATTTTGTTCTATGAAGATTTTTTTTTTAAATGCCCACTCACTTTCTTATTCCAAATGGAACTGCAGAATTTTGGACTTGCGTTATTGCAAATTGATACACAATACCACATTTCAAAAATATCTTCTAAATAGAATAATATTTAGAAGGGATGTCAGCCCCCAGCAGGCTAACACATCTAACGCTTCTCAGTGTATGGCACTGTATGTGTTTCTTTGGGGTTATATTTCTACACTTAAAATGCAATTTTAAATGGCTTGCACACGCTATTGACTTAACACAAATCAAATGTATCATATATACTTTCTTTATGTTGGCATGCCACTTAGAAAAATATGTGAGATTCAGGGGAAAGGGGGGGTGAAGAGAGAAAATTTATTAAATATAAGTTTTTACTGTAATAGAATATTAATCTAAGCCAATGCTCATTTGCCATTAAACTGATCCTTTTTTTAAAAAAATACACATGCTTCTTATTATTTTGCACTCAAGCAAAAATTCCACATCCAAAGACTTTCCATCTAGCTGGGAATGTCTCTGGCAGGGAGCATGTCAAAAAATCTTGACCTACAGAAAGACAGCAGACAATGTCCACGCTGAGTAACCCACGGGGCAGAGAAAGCAAATGTGACTGATTACCCAATACCAGATAAGTGGCGGCCAACAGCACGGACGAGGGAGAAGGGCCTTCCCCAAAACCTTCCTTCTTGCTTTTCTAGTAGCACATAGTTGAAAATGTTTGATTTGCAACATAAAAGATTCATTAATTACCACTTGAATATTTAAAGCTATTTTACAGTCTAACAGAGATAGATAAAGCAGTGAATTAAAACCTCTAATAAAATTGTAAAAATATTTCAGTAAGTTTACCCATGTTATGATTTAGGGAGAGGTTCAAGCATTCTTACAGAATAAAGTCTTTACAGATTTCAAGTGTGTGTTTGAAGGAAGGAGCTCAG